AATCTGCTAAAAACTGCTGATCAGCAAATAACTGTTTACATATGAAATCACCAGATGCTGAAGGCTAAGTTTTTATCACGTTTTTTGAAACAGAATTTCACAGCCTTTTTATACAAGCTGATTTCTTTTTCTTTGACCTACATTTGTAAAAATTTAATCTTTTATCTGTTTTTGTAATCCCACCATAAAATGTTGTACTTTACAACAGTTATAGTGATTTTATTTATGTGTGACCACTAAAATCCCTTTAAAACCATCGTGTCCTCATGAAATGTAATTTGGCCGTCTTGGTTTTCACACCTCGTGTTTTTCACTGTACGTCAGAACCTCTCTGGTTTGTTACCGTATGTGTATTTTCCCACAAGACAAACTTTTCTCTTGTTCCTGCTTCACCTTTAAATTCTTGTGTGCTCGGAAGTTTCAGTTAAAAACCCACCAGACTGATGGCCTCGCCTCATGAAACTCCAGCTTTTCATCAAACTCTGACATGATGCTGCTGTGGAGAGGAGCCCATTCTTCCCGGCGGTCGTCCTCTGTTTGTGGCCGGGATTGAGACGTGTAGGTGAGGAAAGGAAAGAAGAGGAGGATGTGAGAACTTCCTCAAACTGTTTGCAGTTTCGCTTTTTGGGACTCAGTGGTCGTGGCTGGTAGAAATGGAGAAGCTGCTGTTCTGCTATTTATCTGACAAGAAATGACGCCGTTTACCGGAACTGCCTTGATAAAACCAAAGTTAAAACCCACTGGGTGGAGTAATGGATGGAAAACAATCTGCGTAACTAGAGAAATTGCATTTCCTGCAAAAATGCATCGTGAATGCTTATTGCTGAAGAACTTGCTAAAAAAACAGTTGATATTAGCTAAAAACATGCTGAAATGTAGCTGAAATGGAAGAACAAGCCTAAGTCAGAAGAAGAAAGCAGAAATAACACATATTTTCAGTATTAGGTTTAAATAAGCAGAAATTAGCACAAAAAATAGGAAATTAGCTAAAAAAGCTGAAATTAGCAACAACACACACACACAAAAAAAACTCTGAGAAGGCAGAAAGAAGCATAAACCACCAGAAGGAAGTGGAAGGAGCTAAAATTGACTGAAAAAAAAAAGCATAGCTGAAAAGGCCAAATTTAGCATAAAAACATCTACCAGTAAATTGTAACAGAAATAGAAGAAAATGTTGAAACGTAGCAGAAATAATCTGAAAGGAGCATAACAAGCTGAAATTAGCAGAAAGAAGTTAAATTTATTTGAAAACAGCTGAAATTAAAAAAAAGCTAAAATGATAGAACAAGCTTAAATTAGCAGAAGAAAGCAGAAAGAACAAATTTGTCCAATTAGAATGAAAGAAGCAGAAATGAGCATGAAAAAGTGGAAATTGTCGGAAAAAAAAAGAACTTGGGGGGGGGGGGGGGGTTGAAAAGTAGCTAAAAAGCAGAAAGAAGCTTAAATTACAAGAAGGAAATGGAAAGAGAACATTTTTACTGAATTAAGCTGAAAAAAGTTTACATTTAAAAGTGCAAAAAATGTGGAGTTATTTGAAAAAGCTAAAATTAGTATAACAGCTAGCTGAAATAGCAGAAAAGGCTGAAACTAGCAGAAATAAGCTGAAAGGAGCATAACAAGCTGAAATTAGCAGAAAGAGAAGAAGCCCCAAAATGTTCTAGTTAGCAGAAATAATCTGAAAGGAGCACAAAACAGCTGAAATTAGCTGAAAATTAGTTTAAATTTGTACAAGGAAGTTGAAAGAAGCTGAAGCAGAAAAAAAAAATGTGAAAGGAGCAGTAAAAGGTTGTAAACAGATTTAAAAATTTGAAGGATGTAAAATGAGCTCAATTATATTTTTATGAGAAAAAAAAATGGCAGAAAAGGCTAAATATTTCAAAAAGCTAAAGTTGCACCAATACCAAAAGTCAGAGCAGGATTGTCCTTAAAGAGCTGAACATTTTGTTGTGATTTGTTGAAATAGCACAAAAATTGTGGTACGAGAAAGATGCTGAAAAACATACGGAAGATAAATGGATCACAATAGTGTGAATGCTTCATAAACATTCACACTAAGATATATCTGTGCAGAAAAATGATGATTTCAATCATAAACCCTCATTTTAGTAGAACTTTATTTTTAGCGGGGCTTCTGCAGCGAACAGAAACAATGGTTTACTTAACAGAAATATGAAGCTTTTGTCTGGGACACCCACTGTGTGTTCGTCACTGCTGTTTGATCACAACCTAAAAGACAGAAGGGATAGGTGTTTTCTCTTCCTCTTCCTCTGCTTTGAAAGCATGACACACGCAAGCTTTCTGAAACTTGCTGCAAACGTCTGCTGCTTGGCAAAATATGTGCTGCTCTGAGAAGATTCAACTCTTCTTGGCACTGGAGTTTATTTTCCTTACATGCACTCAAGAAAGTATTAGAGGCAAAAAAAAAGAGTAGGATCATAGCACATATTCTATTTTTTTTACTTTTTTTTTTTTTTTTATTAAATCACCAGAATCATGATGCGATCACAACTATTACACCAACATGGAATAAAAGCGTAAGCATCAGCTAAAAAAAAGATTTTATAAAATGATGATGCAAGATTTACATTTAAAATAACAAAATCACAGTTTTTTTCACTAACACTCTGTCAGGTCTGCGCCTGTTTTTTATCGTTTATTACAAGTTGTGCTTTCAGCACAAAATCACACACATAAACAAAATGACCTCAGAACATACGATCATCTGAATTATAGTACACTTTGGACAAAATCACAGTCATGTAAAGATATTCAGAATAATTATTGTTTTCTTATTTGCAAAAAGTTTAAGAAATCAAACCAAATTTTATTTATTTGCTTATGAGATGTTTTGTATGCTGCACAGCATTTAGCTTTCATTTTTGTCGTTTGATTTGTTTATGAACACAATATGATTTTTGTATACAGTACAATACTCTTTAATTCCTGCAGCTTTCAGATCTCCACACTTTGCTTCCTCCTCCCACGACCATCTCATGAACATCCTCTGTTCTCCAGCCTAGAAAATCATTATTGAAATCTTCCTTCAAACTTCTCAGTGTTTGACAGTTTTGTTTCTC